GTCATTTCTCGGTACTCTTCCCGTTTGATGTTCCGACGGTAGCATATGCTCTTTACTCACAGATGCCGGTCATATCCTTTGCCTCCATCTCCAGTAGACTGTGCGTCTGAGACAGTAATTTTCGACCCCAACAACCCGCTACTAATTACGTAGATCGACCTCCTCACGATGGGCAGGTCAAGGACATCACGGGCGACGGCATCATTCAGGAGTACAAGAAAATTGTTGAGGACCGCGTGGTGCTGGCCAGGCTTCTCCACGATGATCTGGCCGGCGAGGATACCTGGGAGGCCCGGGATACTTTGATTCAGCAAAGCATGACGGACCAGGTGTCACCGGTGCCTAACAAGTCCTTGCTGAAAAGCAAGGGGACCGTCGTCGAGCTGCAGGCCCAGCTGAAATGCTGCAGCAGCATCGAGGAGCTCCCGAAATGCATCGAGCACATCCGGGGCTGCATCAGCGCTTGGGGTACGTTGAGCCAGAGCTTAAGTGTTGCCATGGCGGAAGTGATGAAGGCCGTCCGAGACGTGACAAAGAAGAGGAAGCGGAAGACGAGGCGAAAAAGAAAAAGGCGGAGGCGAAGGCTTCTGCAAAAGCCAAGGCGGCGGCACCAGCGAAGCCTCACACAGGTGATCATATCTTCGTCGACGTCTTCGGCAAGCTGCCGGCGGTGGAGAAGGTGACGGAGACCGACGCGGACTCCTTCTTCCACCACTTCAATGCTTCTGTGCCGAGGTGTGTGGTGGTCGGCATGGTCGAGCCAGCGAAGATCGTCGCGGAGCCATTCTTTGATGCCCGGGTTGCCATTTTTGTCGACCAGTTCCCATCGAGCTCGGCTGCCGTGAACACAGGCAGGGCCTTCATGAAGATGGGGAGTGACAAAGCGTTGGTGAAGCTCTCCAACCACTACGCAAAGCTGTCATCGACTTCTCGGCCCCATAGACTGTCGGAGGACAATGAGAAGCTGCTGAGCGCACCCGGCATGGTTGGTGTGGCGCCGGGCAGGACAAACTTTCACCTGTTGGAGTTGGCGTCTTTCCGCCACACCTTCGGCTCCAACAAGCTGAACATCATCGTGATGCCGCTCGACGGCTTCATCAAGATGTGCCAGGACATTGATGCACGATTTGCTCTTCTTTCGACTTTCTTTTTGAGTTGCTTTTGGTTGCAATGTTGATTGTTGACAATGTCAGGAGCTTGAGCTTGGGAACAACATTTGCACAATGGCCACGGCTGCCATGGCAATGGATGCAAAGATGACGGAGGCTGTCATCAAAGGTGGCAGCCAGGTCACATTGGAGCCTGGTCAGCTGCTGTACTTGCCGCCGCTGGTCGTGGTTTGGGAGCGCTGCGATGCCGCGGCGTGTTTCGTGAGCTACAAGTGGGTTCCAGAGGCCGTCGACAATATGAAAGCGACGATCACCGAGGCTTTCAAGCTGGAGGGCTGGCCTCAGAATGAGGTACTCACTCGCTGCCGTGCCAACATGCAGATCGTTGCAGATGCTTGGGAAGTGAAGTGAGGCGGCTTGGCAGTTGTTGTTACTCTTCATTCGAAACCGGTGTATGGAGGTTCAGACGATCATAACAACAATCCACGTGGGTACTATGCATCGTCAACTAAAACTTTAAACCCTAAACCCTA